TTGTCAGTCAATGGAATTAAAACAGCAAAACAAGTTCAAAATCATGAGCATAAATACTTATTTTCCCCAGTACCTAATACCCTTCAGATCATTTTCTTTGCATTTATTAGTTAATGGAATTTAAAACAGCAAAACAAGCTCAAAAATCATGAGCATAAATACTTATTTTCCTATCTCCTGTGATTTTTGATAATCAATGAATATCTTATGCTCATCCTATTTGACTCTAGTTCCATTCTTATAACAGTTGTCGTGCCTATCCAGTTTTAAGTCTAATTCAAACAACGAAGTAAGAAAATGAAAAGTATAAATAAATAAACAAAAAAAAAACCCCCCAAATTTATCATACATGTCATTCCAAGTTCCAATACTAATTCCTGACTAATTGAAGCAATCTGACGAAGAAAACAAGATAGCTTTACCAGAGACAAAGATAAAAAAATAGAACTGCCAATAATACTTATTATGTCATATCCGTCTCGATTCCAACAATCCCAAGTTCGGCTCTAATTCTCTGATAAAAGGAGGAAAATTTGTTAAAAAATATTAAAAAAAAAAAATCTTTCCTGAACTCGTATATTTCATTAACGACCCCGTCGCTAATATTTGATAATAAAATGAATGTCCTATGTTCACACTTTTCGATTCCCATTTCCATCCTTATAACAGTTGTCAAGTGCGAATATTCAATCAGCATCCCTGTCTTTGCTGATATTTGATAATAAATAAATGCCTTATGTACATGCTTTTTATAACAGTTACCAAGTACAAGTACTCCTAGTATCCCCGTCTTTACTGATTTTTGATAATCTTGAATGCTTCTTTTCAACTCCAATCCCATTAAGATAGCAACATCCAACATTGAAAATTCCATAGTAGAGATTACTTAAAAAAAAACTACAACGCACTATATGCTGTACAAAAATGATCCTTGAGTAAACTTAGCAAATAATTGATGATATCTTGTAATCCAGTGATCAGAATCGGGTGAACTTTGTACCATTCGATTCATCTCATCGAGACAAATCGAATGGTATAAAAATTATTCGATTCTAATCATTAGATCACGGGATATCTAAATTCATCAAATTACACCTCTTCGTCAAATTACCCCTTTCTACCTTATACTTGTAATTACTAGCATTCCAACTTTTTTTTTGAACCCCACCGAAGCATTACAACTTTATTAAATTGTATTGTCATTATTATATATATTAATATTTTTACATGTTATTTCATTAGGAATATTATTAATTAAGTAAAAAATTTGTCGATTTTCAAATACTAATATATCATAAACAACGGGCTTATTTTTTTTACCACCTCCCATTGTAGTTCCTCCAAAAAACAATTTAACCTAAATATAAGTAATAGGTAAGTTAATGTTTAAACTTTAAAAAATAAAAGTTTAATTTAAAATACCTGATTGTGATTTTTTTTTTCAATACTGCTAGTTGAAAATAATCTAAGCGAAAGTCCTTTTTTTTTTAATTGTCACATAAAATAAGGCACATGCATTGTAAGCATATGCATATACGGTGTGATATCTTCTTTTCTATAAAGTTCAGGAATTGCAGTTGCAGTATTCATTTGACCAACAGTGGGTTGACAAAATGTTCTTATCCAATTTTTTGCATCTTCTTCAAATTTTAAAATTTCTTCTTCAGTATTAGTTGGTTTTTTTAAAAGTTCATATAACCGATAAAATTCTCGTCACAAATTTTCAATATCTATTCCACGTGCTCCAGATATAAATTCATTTACAGGAAAATACTGTAGCATTTTTTTTTTATCGGGTCCCGTAAGTGATGTCCAACTCCAATTACTTCGAGCAGAATTACTACGATAAAATTCAAAATGAATATTAAGCTCATTCATTTTTTTTTCAATTTTTTTTTTAAAATTTCGTTCAAAATCATTTTTTTTAATTAAATCGTTGAATAAACATTCCATCAATACATCAGATATTCGTAATAAGATGTGTAATTCGTCAGGAACATAATTAAGTAAATCGATTACTGGAAATACAGATGGTCTTTTTTTTCCTAATTAATAAATTAAATTTATAGTATTATATTGATTATTTGTAAAACAATTTTAAAAAATTAATAAATACCTTTAGTATTTCCAGTAGGTGGCCATAAAAGATTCATATTATAACGAGATTTTATATCACATTCGCAAAATAAGCAAAAATATTCAGAGTTTGGCACATTTAAACCCATAATAATATAGGTAAATTTCCAATCACCAGAAAAGTAAAATTCGATTGACCAATGAATACCATCATTATCAATTATTCTATGTTCTTTTAAATCAGCTAACTGTAAAGCAAATATCTTGCCAACTTTATCTAGTACTTCATACTTTTCTTTACCCACGTAAAGACATATACTAAAATAATAAAATTAATTTTATTTATTATATTAATTTATAATATATATATAAAAAAAGTATACCTAAATTGATGACTTGGTTTAAGTACTTTTTCTCCCTCATTTAATAAACAAAACATTACCATTACATGGTTTTGCTTTCATCTGACATTCCTACCGTCCCTACCAAGTTTTATATAAAGAGTATCACCTGGAGTTATTACTGGATTTTCTCCTGATTTCCATATAGGTATTAATATTTTAAGTAAAGTTGTAAGAGAATGAAATGCTCCATTTCCAATTTCATTATTATCTACTAAAATATCACTAATATGCTTGATAAAATCATTATCTTGATCAACATCTTGATTTATATTAAAAATTCCCACTCGTATTTGAGTATTTATTAGTTCATTTATTTGATTTCGACGATTAGCAACTAAGTATTCATGAAATAGTGTAGGTACAACTGCTGCTAAATGTCTATATCCATCACAGCCTAAAAGTGCTTCATCACATACACGTACAATGGCATCAAGTCTTGTTTGTGTAGTTGTAGGATTTAAATCATTAAATTTAATTCGAACTGGATCTTCTTTATAATCAAGCTCTATACTACGTATATATACAATTGGTTGTCCAAATAAGTTTGTTAATCTATGTTTGATAATCAATTGGTCAACTTCTTTTTGAATATCATTTCCAAAACTATTAAACTATTTATTTAGTTGTGATCGTGAGGTAATATCTTCAAGAGGCCTTTTTCATTTATCAATTCTTATTTTAGGACAAGAAATTTGTATACGAGTATTATACAATGGCTCAATATCAAAGCCAAAAATTCGAGGTCCAGAAAGTTTAGAACATTTCCAATTAATTTTCTAATAATATAATAATAATTTAATTAATCATATAAATTTACATAATATTGTTAAATTTCATCTACCCTAACTACTAACTAACCAATTTATAGAATTTTGTTTGTTATAGTTATAATATAATAGAAATTATATATCGGGTAACTTTAATTTGAGTAAAATAAAATTTTTCAAAAATATTAACTAGATATTATACCTGTAAATATGTATTAATAACTGCTGTAGATGATTTTGTACTATATACACTATATTCTGCACGATCTTCTTTCCAAATAATTGTATATTGTACTTTTAAACTTGAAATATATTTAGTTTCACATCTAAGATTTTGCTCAGCAAGTGTTGTTTCAACAACATAATTATCGGGTATTGGATATTGAGGTGTATTATTCCAGCCATTTTTTTGAGTTAATTTTGGTGTTGCGGGATATGTTCCCAAAGAAATAATATTATAATATGAGTAGTATAATCGCCCATTTGATTCATAATGTGCTTCAATCTTTGGACTATTTGGATAGTCATGTACAAAAATACGGCTAGAAAAAGAATTTGCTAATAAATTTTTTTTTAAAATTAATTTTATATTATTAAAATATTGATATATATATTTTTTTTATTAA